CTTTCCCTATTGAATTAGGAAACTGTCAACTAATCTGTCAACAGTTAATATGTCAATTTGATTTTCAAAGACACTGCAAATAGTTACACATGCGTGTGTGTAGTCCTATATGTTAAATATATATTTTAATTAGTAAGTGACATAGCAATTAGAGGCAGTCGAATGCGGAAAATGTGTAAGATTAAATGAAAGGTTGTATGTAAAAATATTGACACAGGTGAATTAAATGTGAAAGAATATCTTTACATGGCAAACTTAATTATGGTGGCATTAATTAATGCAGCTTCCTGTGGCACTTGAAAACCACATGCTTTAATAATGCATCTGAGGTTGCACATCAATTTAGATACCATCTGAACATTAGCTTGTGGTATTGTTGGGGTCTAAACGTGAGTCTGACCTACATAGCCATTTGTCCAAACCTGTTAGGCCTAATATTAATAATTCAGGGCAGATCAGTATGTTTCCACAAGGCCAGGGATGATTAAAGTAACCTTGCTTTCCTTTTGCAGTTTCTTTGCCATCCCTTTCTCTTTACCCATCCCACTCTCTGAATAACATACGAATGCTGATGTCACATTGTCCAGAGAAATGCTTGTGTGAAATTTTATTCACAGATTGTTAATATTTTTTTTAATGTTTTCAATCTCTTTCCTATTCCATTTAACTGTAGTTTTTGCAGCAAGGGGCCAAACACATGTATATATTTATATAAAATGCAACCACGTTGGGATGAAATCTCTAAACTGGATGACCTACTCCTCCTGTTTCTTTCATTTTGTGCAACAGCTATGGTCTAATTCTCTATATATTTTTTCCAGTGACAGTACTTGCTGTGAACGGTGGGGGTTGAACCCCAGAGGGGACATATCATGTGTACATTGATGTGTTTGAAGGAATTTCTTGTAATCTATGACAATTGACAAACTTTTGATTTATTTTTCCTCTTGCTGCCTTGGAACACGGCCCCTACTATATTTTAACTGCACACTGATAGTGATCTATTGTGAGTAAAAATGGGTTCCCTGTAGCCCAGAGTGCGGTCCAACCTGTCTTTCTCTAGCAGAGAGTATTTTTGTTCAGTATTTTGGTTCTTTTCTTTATTTATGTTGCATGTAGCAGTGACGTCATACCCACAAGTTTCTCATCGTTTACACCCACGGAGATTAGGGTGACGTTGAAGAAAATACAGCAGTTTTCCCCTCTTCCATCTTTTTGCCCCTTTTTTTCCACAACCTTATTTTTAATCCCCATTTGAAAATGAGATCTTGGCAGTGGCATTTTCTTGAAATGATTGTAGAGAAATCTCATGAATTTTTAGGGATCTCGGATAGGCCGGGGTAATTACCACTATAGCACTGTTTGCCTGGTTAAGTGCAATTCATTGTCAGACCCGTGTTCAATTTTTTTTGGTACTTTGTCTTTTCCATTGCATAGCTGACACAAAGAGCAACATAGCGGTCTTTTACTGTCTTTATCTAACTCCTTTCTCCCCATTGGCAAAAAAAAAAAAAAAAAAAGAAAAGGAGATGGGGGTAAAGTCAGACAATGAATTAAATGGCTAACTAATATATAAACATACAGGTACCTTCAACAGGAAACAAGCTACAGTGATTATTTTCCCCAGCTTGCTTGTTTTGAAATTAATTACGTGAGTAGAGCCACACTGACTTTTCAGTGCCTAAGCTGTGAAGTTTTACATTATTATTATATATAGAATATGAACTTTATAGACCACTTCATGTCAATCTAGGTCATACCACTTGAAAGTGTGCAGAATCTATGAAGGCTCCGGTCAGCCACTTTTAGTGTGTACAGTTGTGATAATTTAAATAAACACAGCATTTGGGACATGGAAAGAATTTGCTGCTTAGAAATACAAGCACTGCAAATAAATGTGCTGATGATAGGGCAGTGTTGGGATTATATGGGCTTGTTCTTTCAAACAGCAAGAGGGATCAAAGATTTCATAGCTGCAGTGAGGCATTACTGTACCAGATTGAGGCTGCTAACCATACCATATAACTGCAACTATTCTAAATAAGCGAGGCTATGAGACTTTTTCAACATTTCACCAGATATTCCAAATTTATTGTGTCTTAACACTTCAGGTCTTAATCAGAATTGAGATATTTTTGCCCTCTCAGCTGTATGCACCATAGGATCTCGCAAAGAATCAAGGAAAATCCGAGACTCCTGGAGTTGCATGATAAAGTCCTAGCCATCTTGGAATTGTGATGGCCTTCATTATGAGTATCATTATTTACTATTTATCTTATTGTGGTGCCTGCAAACTACATTAAAGGATTGACATCTTGTTGTGGTAGAAAGCATTCAAACAGAGAACAGAAATTTCTCCAAAGATCTATTTTCAGCCAATAGAATGACACAGCAGAAAGATGGGACAGGACAAAAATGCAGATTGTGAAACAGGTCAGCATGATAAGAATCAATACTTAATAATAAACCAGAAAGAAACTAATTTCTATGGATAAAAGGATGAATTGTGTTGACTTTGAGGCAGAATACTGGGAGTGATTTGGATTCATGTGAAACAATGTATTTTAAATAAGTTTCTAAGTTCAGGCCTTTCTTGATCAAATTAGTTTAAATTGTAATAAATAAACAAATAAAAGAGCTTTTCATGCTAAGAGAGTTAAAAAAGAAAAGGTCATGTTGTTTTGACGTGTGTTTTTTTTCCATTTCCCCAATAGCTTCAGTTTGTTCAGAAATGCAGTTAGTTATCTTTCAGAGTACACTGGCTGAGAGTCTTCTTTAAGGTAATGAAGGAAAGGTCATGATCAGATTTAAAAATTAAAATGAATTGGTCTATAAATGTGCCATTACTTCAAAACCTGTGAGTCATTCTTATAGCTACTAAAATAGGGCAAAATGTCCACTCAGGTCACCTGCTGTTTCTACAGTTTTGACAAAGAACAGCACTGCATAAATTTGAGCAAACAACTAAACAATTGCCTTTGATAGCAAAAAATTGCATGATAGTGAACAAGCTGACTTGGTGGTCTTGAAGTTGTTCTGTAAAAATTAAATAATGAAGAGGTAGCTTTGCCGGTTGTGTTAAGAGAAAATAAATTCTCACAAACAGTTTAAAATATGCTGCTGTATTTTTCAGGAAACTGAAATTGTGCTGAGGAAGTCCTTTCAGTATTTCAGTCTCATGACGCTAAACAGCATTGCTAAAAGGCGATCAGATCAGTCTGGTCGTCCTTTAATGCTGCTGTTATTTTACTCGTAGTGTGGATCATGAGAACTTGATGAATTGAAATGACACTGTATGCATTTCAATTCTTAAGTGTAGTGGGACCTCTTTTTACCGTTTGCTGGTCAAGAACCCCCAGTTCATATTCTTAACCAGCTGTTATCTCATAGAGTTCCACTAGATGTCCTCGTAGATCTACTTTTTGTTACCGTTGAGGTCACAAGGAAAACTGCTATAGTGATGGGTGGAATACAAGGATTGGGTAGACTGGTTTTAAAAAAAAATAAATCTGCAAAGATGAAGGGATACTTTGTTCTGCTTGCTTTAAAAAAAAAAAAATAATAAAAAAGGGGGCTGTTCCTTGACATCTTAGGTAGAGAATAATCTGCAGTTTCCTTTGCTTATTTTTGCAGCTGGAAATATTTCCCATCACTGTTTGTGAACACTAAGTAACACCTCAGATCCAGACAATCTAGAAATGTTGACTGGACTTTTTGAGGTTTTGAGATCAGAGAACAAGGTACTGCTAGAAGCTTAGACATCTAAGGCACATGCCTTCCTTATTAGAATGGAAGGCTATTGCCTTCTGAGAAAAATTGCAACAAAAAAGTTTTTAAAAGTCTTTATTTACTTTATAAATAATTGTCAGAATTTTTTGTTTTCCTTTTGCTCTTAAGAAATCAGAAAACGACTAGTTCATATATACCTTGTTTTGTCAGTAAATTATTTAAGTAGTCTGATTTCCATGTCCATGATAACTTTCCCTGATATTTTTACTAATTCATTTTACAAATACTGTGGGATTGTCATCATACTAAGTAGAAGAATCTGTTCTTCCTTTTTGTCCATTTATTATGCAATTGAAAATAGGGAAGTGATTTTCTTTATGTCCCAATTTACATTTTTCACTAGTTGCAATCAACAGTTCTATTCAACATCCATAACGTTTCTATGAATAGAAATTAGTTGATTCTTATACAGGTGCTACAGGTGTCAAATGAATTTAACACCCACCCGGAGGCTGTTCTTAAGGTCCCCCTGTCTCTCTGATGACTCCCATTTTTTGTTAATGTTTATGGAAGTTTTATAGGAAATGGTATGTGTGTGGCTGAACCATTTAAAATCATTTCTGTCCTGTCTTTGATCTTGTCACTAGTCTTCCCTACTAATAATCCATGTTTTGTTTTATTTAAAAGAAAATAACTATTGTATTTGGTATGAATGTAACAATGACTGTATAAAAGGAATGAAGAGTAATGGCATGTTTTCTTTCCAAAATGTATTGCTGTGATATGCAGTTGCTTATATACTGGTGAAACCCTTATAGCAAGTCCTTTCTGCTACTTATATTTCCAGGTCCAAGCCTGTTTCCTGCATGTTACTGATGCAAAATATTAAAATGATGCATGATCTCCAGAACAACTGATAATAATAGTTAAAAACAGTCCCTGAAAGGGCATTACTTTTGAGAAGTGCCATGGAGTCCTTCCCCAGTTGAACAGAAGGGCTTAAATTTCCCACTTCATTGGTTTAAGTCTGATGAAAATGGTACAAAAAGTTTTCCTTCCCAACCCTCTTTGTCCTTAAGGATGATTTCTTTTAATTTTCATAAATGTGTCCTATCCTATTATTGACTGTTGACAAGATATGGCTACAAGTAAATGAAAACCAGGGACTGTTACTAACCAATGACATAGCAGTTGAGAATTTCTGAGCAGTGTGTTTTACTACAGCATTTGATTAGAAAAAGTCTTTCAAAACAACTATAATTAAAACAAAATGGGCCTGCCTTTTACCTCACCTACTGTTAGCATGTCTCACAAATACCCTTTATTTTTCTTTCATTTCCTTAAAGTGAAAATAATAAAATAGGCATAATGGAAAGAATTCCACATTTTTGGTAACATATTTCAGTTTTCTTTTTCTGCCCAACTTTTCAATTTTAAAGAATATGTTGGGAAGAGTTAGACAGAGGGAAACCATGGGAAAATAAATGCTGTTTTGAATTTTCTGTGTAGTTTGAATGTGTATGCATCAAAAGCTGCAGTGGGAACCTTCTTACTAAAAGCCAAGCTCTGAGGAATGATGTACCATGCAATGAACAAGCCTGATGCTGCATGATGACTTTCTGAACAGCTCTAAGATAACTCCACTAGGATGCTAAAAGAACATGGCATTAGTCATGTGAGCAAAGTTTTAGAGGAATGGAGTCGCTGCTGAAGAGATCACTCATTCATCTCCCTCAATGCCTGTTTTCCACAATCATAATGTTACCCTTGCTTGACAAGTATACTGTATGGCAAGTCATCAAGGCCTTAGAACAGGACTTGACCCATTTGAGCGATTTCAATCCCTCTTCCCTGGTGACTGTGGCATTAAGAAACTGGGAAAAAAAAAATAAAAATTAATGTCATTACCATAATGCAAAAAAGACATCCTAAACTGAAGGTACAGGCCAGAGAAACATTACCTTTTTTCTGCATTTGCTTTTAAGGTTTTGTTTTTGCCTGTCAGTGTTCTGTTTTGTTTTTGGTATAATTCAGTCAGTTCAATCTAAACCATTACCAAAAGTGTTGGTTCAGTGCAACATGTGAAACAATCTAAGCGGCCTTTGCATTTCTTCAGATTTCAATGCACCTGTGATTCAGGTAATTATGCATGAGTTTATAAAAGATGCTGCTGTATATTTCTAGAAACATATAACAAGGACATTCGGATGACTGCAGGACATAAATGTTCTATTCTAACCTGGCACTCCTTTTGGAATTATCCCCTAATTCAACATTCAGTTATTTGGTTCTCGATCTACCTTTGAATCCAGAGCAGAAAACATGCCGATGATTGGTTCAGCATATTTCAACGGACCAATGCTCTGTGTGCTTTTGGTGATGCCTTATTTGTGAACTGATTTTAATGTCAAGCATATTTACCATTATTAGTTGTGTCTTTTATATGGGCAAATTTTGGTATTCTGTCAAGAGTTAATTTGAATTCCTGAAGATATAATGTAAATGAAGTAAATTTTTCAGAAAATTTTATGAACATCTTGTAACTCTTTAGTAATGTGTAATTTATTGCAATAGAGGAGTTCCCTGGCACAGTTTAATACAGAGAAAGTATTAGCATATGTTTAAGAATAAATATATTTATATATGTGTATATATATGTATGTATGTGTATAATGTGTATGTGTGTGTGAGCGTGTGTATGTAAGACTATATGTGTGTGTATACATACATATATATAGAGATATATAAAAGTCTTTGATTTTTGCAGGATAGGCCAAAAATATCTAATGAATTAGCAACTTCAGATTTTTCTTTTGATTTTAGTCCAGTAGTATTAATTGTGCCAAAGGAAAATTATATTCTTAGGATTCTCTGCTTTTACTATGTTCTTTTTTGATCCAAACACTTGACTGTAAACAGTAATTCTTCCCTATGTCTGCGGTCACCGTATAAGACTGAACAGAAATAAAGAGCAATTTATCTTTTGCCCTACTTTTAATGTACAGCCAAAGTGTTATCAATAATCTCATTGCATTTTTTTTCCTGGGTCAAGACTGTTAACATAAACTAAGGCCTGTATTAAATCCCTTAAATTACCTTCCAGCTGCCTTGTTATATATATAACCTTGCCATTAACCTGCTGCTCTTCCTCTCCTCCCATCCAACACATGGTTATAGCCAAGATGTCCATCTACAAGAGAATGAAACTGGCATGTTGTTTTGATTGCGGACGCTCTGAGCGTGACTGCTCTTGCATGTCAGGCAGTGTACATAGTAACATGGACACCCTTGAGAGAGCCTTCCCACTTTCTTCTGTCTCTGTTAATGATTGCTCCACCAGTTTACGTGCCTGTAAGTTTTAACACCAACACATGCTGTTCCATGTCTGTGGTGTCTGTGGTATCATCCCCGTCTTGTGTCGTACATTGTAGTTCTGTGAGTTTTACTGGGCTGATGCTTTTTAAAAAAGTCAAACCCAAATTTTAATACATCTCTGTATTTATATTTCTGTTTTAATTTGTTTTTAATACAAAAAATGTAATTCATTATTTTGCTTTGTGTGCTCTTTATGAAGCATGCTCTTGCAATAGCATGCAAGACCTTAGTAGTGCAGTTTGGTGACATCTTTTTTATTTAATTCATACAATATAAATTGTCATTAATTAAATAAGTGCGTCAGTGGAGGAACAGGCCCATGCCTAAATCAATGACTGATGCTAAGTGGACAGCTTTAATAGTGCTGGCACTAGAGCAGCATACAATAGGCAGTGAATAAATATTCAGCACACAACTTAGTAGCTGACCTGTAGTAGCTAGAATTCTATTCTATACTGCTGCCATTATCTTTAGTTTTGTTTGTAACCCTTCATTCCTAATAGGGCAGGACCTTCCATCTAATACTGAAACCACAGAAATCTTAGGAAAAATGCTTGTAATTTTTGTAGTGTCTGTTTAGAAGGGCTAGCCTGATGCAAACTTTTTGAAATTAACTGTAGAATCTGTCCCATAGGACAGTACCGTTCTGGAATATGCCCCAAAAGCTCTTTTGAAAGATCAGAGTTGAGAGGGAGAAGACAGAGAAGTTAGAACAATTCTGCATAGCCATTAATTGTTTGGGCAAGCGATAGGGATTCCAAAGCTTCCTTTATCAGTGTCATGTCAACAATTGAGAAAGATTGTTAAATAAAATGGTGATTATTTTTTTTTTTTTTTTAAATTTTCTTATCCTCTTTAGACATTTATAATAGGGAAAACTGTGTCTTGGGACAGGAACCGTTTTCCTTTTCCCTACCCAAATGGGAAAGAAAAACTAAAAAATTATTCAGCTACACCAATAAGGAGTATTAAGAATTTTGATCAGGAAGCATGTCCACTTTACAAGTCATCAAGGATAAAAATGCCTTCCACTACTAAGAGTATAATGTAGTTAGTGTATTATGCATCTGGTTGCCTTTTGATACTGTATGTGTATTGCAGTATATAGCCCAAGTGGTGAATGACTTTAACTATTTTGACTTTTGAACTATTTTTCCAGACACAAATGTGCAGTATATAACAATACTATGATTTTTGTTAGCATTTTTTTGTCTGAAGACTGTGTCAAACTGATTCTAATAGGATTTCTTAGGGATTTTACCAGAACTCTTCTCTCTGTATATGTGTATGAGCACTCTGAATGTCCTTTTTATCTACTTGGTTGCAACTCATGCATCACCTGTGGGGAGATGGTTCCCAGTTGTAAGTCCTATTCTAAGTTTTTATGCTTTAAAGAGATCTTTTCAGAGTAAAATGTAGCAAAACATATTTTATTAAGAGAAGTGAACAAGAAACCTTCCTGGATTGGGATTTACTGCAGGCAGGGTTACTTACACAGCCTAAGAGCCTCAGTAACACAGTGCCTGGTATAGTGCATTAATACAGACTAGCACAGAGTATGTGTTTGGGTCCCGGCACTGGTGTTAACAGCAACCAGACCAAGGTAAATGAATATGCCCCCTACAAATGAGTAAAATTTCTGCTATTAGCACTGTTTGGCAAGGAAATAAAAACCGTAATTTATAGGTTTGCCATAGCTTTCAAGTTCACTTAAGACTCTACAGAGGCAGATAAACATTTTTGATTGTGTTGCTTGCTGAGCCAAAACCCTCCACAATAATGGTATTATTGCCACCAAAAACAATACTGTTGGGAAACACATTAGATCTATGTTGTATTTTGAAGGATAAGTGATATTGACAGCTTTGAGGACTTTTAGCATCCTATCTTTCAAGGGCCTTTTACCCCTTCATCACTCCATTGAATCAAAAGAGATCTCATTCTTCCCCTTGTGAGACTAGTCACCTTTGACTGTTAATAATAAGTACAAAAATCAATACCAATTCACACTCTTTGCAAAGCAGCATAAGTCTTTCTTTTCCAATTAATATATATATACACACACACAACGTTACACTGGCAAGGCTTCAATAGAAATCAGTGTGCTTTCTTTGCAGTGCACAGGGGTCGTATGATGCCCATCTTGACAGAGCTAGTTAATTCAAAGAATGGCGGTGAGAGTCAGCTTTTCATTAAATATGAGCAGATGTGAAATGTAGAGTGTTTGACAATTAGAAATGGCAGCAGCCGGGCCCCTGAATCAAAGTGAGGTCAGATTGGTGGATCAGATTACCTCTCTTACATTCTTTAGTTGTTCTGAAAATCATTTTGAATTAGTGTCAGTGGAGCCATGATGGGTTTTGCCCTTTGTCTTTTATGCTAGGACTGTATTGTTTCCCCAGACACTCATTAAAGGTCATTATACTATTACAGGGCTTGCTTTGGTCGTGGTGCCCCAATTGGGTTGGTTTGCTTCTACAATTGCTTAACGCATTTCTTTCTTTCCTCCTTTTTTTTTTTTTTAAAACCTTTGGTTATAAAAGCAGGCTGCTTTTTTTTTTTTTTTTCCCCCCAAGGTAAATAAAATCACAGACCATTGTTTGAAACTTCTTGAAACAATGAGTAGCTTTTGTAAGAATTAATGCTGTTCGTAAGAATCCAATGTCAAGTAGAAGATATCAATTTACATATTCCATGATGTACATGGGATTTAGTGTACTAATTGTATAATATGTAGAGAAAGTGACACTTGCAGTGTATTTTCCACTGTGAATCAGTTTCTCTGTTGTTATATTGTTGCCTGTACTTCCAGCAAATGAAAATTATAATTTGATTAAATATAATTACATTAAAATAGCTTTTGAGTTTATGGGCAGCTGTCTGGAAAAAAAATTATCTTTCTAAATGTAAGGAAATAGAATTTTAATTTTTTTGTGTCTACATTTTTTCAAGTTTAACTGCTTTTGGTAGATTGCTACATGAACAGCAGTCAAACAGTCCAAATATTTTTTGTACTGGAGACTCAAGTGAATTAAAGTGAAGAGAGGCACTTAGCCACTGAAAAAATTATGTTACTAATAAGTGTGATGTTTCTGCTTAGGTCTGTGCCAAATCTTGGTGAGTGCCATTCAAATGATTGATTGATACAGGCAGAATCTTAACCTGAACCATTTAATTTCTGTGTTTCTGTGTCACCATATGGCTGCTGCTTCTCAGGAACATCAGAAGTTCATGTTCCAAAAGGAAACCTTTTCTAAACTAGTCACTGATACTGGGCCCAGGCATATCTAATTCAGCTTGTGAGAAAACATGCTTTGGCATGCTCTGATAGTTCTGAGAAGCTTTATGTGAAGACTTTGACTTTGGTGAATATCAGGGATCTCCAGACACAAAAGACAAGAGTAATTATCACTATATTTTGAATTCAGAGTTCAGCCCAAACTCCTAGCCATCCTATTTGTAAAGACAGACCATGCCAAGACAAGATGGAGAAAGCTTAACTTTTGAAAGTAGCCAAAGCATGTCCCTACCTGTGTGCCAATCCCGGTTTAGAACCATATATTCTATCTGGTCTTCTAGTGCTATCACGTGGTTTATGCTGAACAGGCAAGTCAGCTGCTGAGTCTTCCTCGAAGGACTTAAAATTGCATTCTGCAAGATTAGATGAACATTTTGGGTAGCTTAAATAAGGATGGCTGTTGAACCAACGTTGGTACACTGTGCTGAAGCTGTTTGGCAATGTGGTTTAGCGTTAGGTCAAGGAACACTCAAGCTGTTTCATTGACCTGGGCTACTTAAGGCAGTGTAGAACCTGCCTGTGTGTCTTTACAACTTAAAAAAACAAATTCTGTAATGAGAGCTGAAATGATATGTCACTTCCTGCTTTAGCCAGAGAGATGAATGCATAACACACGCATTGGTCAGTGTATCTAAAATTCATCAGTTGTATAACTATGCTTGGGCTTTTCTAAAATAGTTGACTATTAAGTCCTGGATTCTTAAATTACTGTCTGAAAAGACAGTGTAGTCTTTATTTCTCTTAGAATGCAAGAACCGTATCCTCTGCTTTCTACGGAACAAAACTAACCTACTACTTCTTCAGTCCTTCTGAATTAGCCAAGACAGCAAGAAATACTTGCTTTTGTGGATGAACTAAGGTGCAGGAAGGACCTATGTCTGCCCTATCAAAGGACAACTTTCAGTGCTAGAATTCTCTCTTCATCCTTTAGCAGCAATGGTTTCCCTTTTACAGGATATATATACCACCTTGTGGTGGCTAGAGACTTTGAGATTCTCAAACCAGCTACAAATATGATCCCATTTACATTATATCTATAACATTCTGAAGAGGGAAGGGTGGGTAGTACTACTGGTCTCTGAGCTGTGAGAATTCTGTTGTGGCTACAGGAGGGATGGAGACTCATTTGCTCTGAAATTCTTACTTTTACATATGCTGCATAAACACCTTTCTCTTTAATATAACCCAGTGATCGCTGTGTGGTCACACTGTCTCATCTTTGTTCTGTACAAAAAGCCAATAGCACAGCTTTAATGTTTTGAGGAAGAAGAAATTGAAGGAGTAAATAAGTGATTGGGTCTGCCTAGAAAGAGAGATGTTGCCCCTCAGGGATGGCATCATAATGTCATAAGCAAGTGATTATGTGTTGTTATGAAGTTATGATTTTTTGTTATGATTGTTATGATTTTACCGCTCACTTCTGTGAAATGACCCCACCTCTGAATACTGAGGTATGATATAGCATTATCTTGTGCAGCCTGTTTTGTGGGGGTTTTTTTAATGAGATTAGTAAAAATGGGACATTAGAATGAGATATAGTGCAAAATAAATTCCTGTTAATTCAAAGCCACAGAGAATATAAATCATAAGCCTGTGAACCATGCTGTGGGTAATAGATTGATTTATGTAAACCTAGTTTCAAATATTATTCTTTCTTTTAGGGTGACAGATTTTTACT